TATTCTATACTTAAACTTTAGGCGACTATTTTCCTCCATTTCTCCTCTTTGTTACAGACCCTAATTCAAAGCCCTTCTATGCTATTGCCAATTACATTTAAAAAAAAAAATCAATGGTATGTAACAAATAGCTTTGCAGTGCACAGCTCTTGAAATAAAATGGATATTTATCAGCATATAATATAAAAGTCAATGTCTTATTAGTCCTTTCATTTTTATAGTAGTCAGTAGATAAAAAAAAATTATCATCCTGAACAGCAAGACACACATAAACAAGCGCACAATGAGAAAATGATCAGATATAACTAGTCTAATTTTAATACTCAAAGTAAAACATTCCACATTCTAAAAACATGTTTAGAGCTTTCTAATGGTCATTGACTATTAATGAATGAGGACAATTTTTAAAAATGCTCAGGCCTGGCCTAATTGTAAGTCACCCAAAATCAGTTTGAATTTCAGATAGGCCAGATAGGACTTACTCAAATATTTTGGAGATACTTCTGTACAAGTTTTTCCAAAAGAATCACAGTCCTTCATTGGAAAGTAGAAACAAAACAGTGACCATGTAAACTAAACAGAGTTCTTGATAGAGGGTCTGGTTCCCATCTTACGTATCTCCTATATACGTACATATATAGGAGTATATATATGTGTGTGTATATGTAGGCATAGTATATATACGTGTATATACACGCGTATATAGGAGTACGCATATACCTAGTGTAAGGATATTACCACATCTGTGTAAAATATAATTATACAAACTTATTTCAGATAGATAAAAATGACTACACAAAGTGCAAGGCTTTAAAGATACAATCTTTTTCTTCTGAATTGTTTCTGAGTTACAGCGCAACTGTATCGGTCTGGTTATACTTATCCTTTAGATAAAGATAACTCAACACCATGGTAATAAAAAGATGTAAATTCACTCGGATGCTACTTGATCAAAATATGGACATACCCTTATTCATACTTTCTGGTGTTACATGATCATTTTATTTTTCGTTTATTTCAAGAGATTTATTTTATAGATATTACTTCAGTGTATTTCACAGAAAACAGCTATGCACTGCCACCCTCAGAACAGAAAAAGAGCTATCAATCTGTTGCCCTTTACCCTTCCATTAGATTTTCACCAGATACAAAACATCTGTTCTCCTCTTACATGGATTTTTACGTACTGTTGAGCCTCTTGCTTAAACAACATTAGATGCATCAATGATTAAGAACTTTGATTTCTTATATTCTCCTTGTAATATTGATCATCCCTACACAGAAGGTGTAGAGTATATAGAAAAGCATTAATTCTTTTGCACTCTTTACCATGGAAAAGAAATAGATTTTTAAAAAAAGTTAATGAGTTGGAAAACAGCCTGACAGTATAATTGGAAAAGGAGCTTGAGCAGAAAGGCTGTTTCTCACCTTTGCTACTTGTCTAAGGGTTTTGCAAATTATTTATGTGTATATATAAAGAAAAATATATTTCACACATCATGCCTTTAAAGCAATAACTATGAATGGGATTGTTTATGTTAGAAAAAATATTTTTTCTTGTTTACCTTTTCAAAGAATCAGGATTTGATTGTTTTACTTTGATGAGATTGTTCACATGCTTAAAGTTAAGCAAAGATTTCTGAACCCTGTTGAAATCAAGTTTAATTAAGAAAAAGAATACAAGCTAATTTTTAATTCGTATTAAGCCCTCATATAAAGTGCATTGACCTAATGGAAAAAAAAAAAAGACTTCAAAATTCTGCTACTACTGTTGATATCAATATACATTTAAAAGCTACTCTATTTGGGCTTTTTCAACATGATAAAACAGACTCAAATCACACAACGCATTAGTTTATACAGGTGCTTCAGTAAGTTTGCGATTCTTTTTGGCTGGATGTAAATCTGACATAACCACATCTAGTGAACAGAATCCTAAAGATACACAGCCAGGATCAGAGCCTTTAGTTTGGAAGTGGAATTTTTCTGTGACTCTACTAGCTACTACTCTAGCAGCAGCACAACAACATTCTGGGAGAAAACATTAAACATCTTAGTGAGCTGATGTTAAGAAAAATACAACCGAGCCTTCTTTAAGTGGAAGTAATGCTACTTTCTCTGTGGCTACAAAGCAACCTGTCTGCATAATCATCACTCATATTTACCTAAAGGAAACATTTGTGAATGCCAGAGAGCCACAGTGAGGATCACAACACAAAATACAAGTTGGTATTACTTGCATACTAGAAAAACCTCTGTGGAGTGTTCGCTGCTCTATATCCTCTGTATAGATTTGGGAAACCAACAGATACGACACTTGCCAGATCCATCAGCCTCTCACAAATCTTTCATAGTTAGAATCAGTCAGCATAGGTTTTCCATCCCTAGGGATCATGCAGAGACCCTCATGTAAGTTTACTGTGGCACTGCTTTCACAGAGGCAGGATTACTTCTTTTGAAGCCCCCAGCAGTCCTCCTCGTGTGTTGGATGTACAGGACTGAGAGGGCACAAGAACGTAACTAGGGTAACGATTTGCTGCTAATTAGGCTAAAAAAAAATGTTTAAAGTCCAAAATTATTTCATAGTAAGCAAGCAGCACCTGTTGCCTACTGAGAACGTCTGATTTATAGGAAAGTTGTGGTGGCAAAGTTAAATTTTATTCTTTTCTCCTGCCAGCCATGGGACATATTAAGCATATTCAAAAAGAATTAGCTATAAAATACTTACAGAATAGATCCATAAGTAAGTTCCCTTACTACTACCCTTGTAACCACAGAAGGCCAATGAAGTTCAACCTGATGAAAATTAAATCCAGAAAGTTACTCTAGACTAGAAAATAAATTGTCTTTTGTAATATAAGGAGTTAGTACCACATGCATCATGGTGGATACAGTCTCACAAGCTGGACAGTCAGTGAACAGGCATGATCCAAACATACACAGTTTACTAGGCATTTTTATGTTTAAATCTGTTGGCTAAATATCAGCAAGACACATTATACAGCTGCTGAAGTTTCCAAATGACCTTAAGAGTGCCTTACGTAGGACATATTAGATTACATTCAGTTTAAAGGCAGTTACGGCCTGCATGACTTGAGTATGTTCTTCACCTGAGGGATGTCTGCAAACCTCTTGCTGACTGCAGAACATTAAAATGCATATTGGAAATAATGCTGTGTAATTCTCCAAGACAGGAGAAAGTCTCCACCGTTTCTTTCAGTTTACTTTCTCACTCTGCAGTGTCTACTTCACCTGGCATGAGCTTCAAACAGCAAATCCTCATCCTGAAAACGATTTAGGAAAGACTGGTAAAATACCTAACGTCAGTAGTGAGAGTGGAAGAAAACAGACTAGAGGACATACTCCGTTCACCCAAAATGTTCGTAAGAGCATTCCACTGTATTTTTTGCTTCAGGAATTCATTTGAAAGTTTTGTTAGAGATCACTGTTACGTTACCGTGTGAGAGGACTTTGTTTACGACCTACATAGATTTATGAGGATTTTTGTTTGTACATGTACATATACATACATATGTATATATTTTTTCTGTTTTTTACTTTTTAACCTGAAGGAGAAACATTTGCACATCTGCTACAGATTGTGAATTGGTATTTTGCTAGGTCAAATCTTTTCAGATCTTTTCTGTAAACCAAGAAGGATTTCAGAATTCAGTGAGAGCACATATTGAAATTGGTTGGATTAAAGGTCACAATCCCAATCCTCCAGTGATTTAACTCAGTATAGTCTAATTGAAGCCAATGATGCTACACTAATCAAATCAGTGGAGGCACAATGGCACAACAGTTATACAAAAGACAGGACTGATTTTTAAACAGCCTATATCCATTAGTTTACAGACAGTAACAATGTACAATTAGTACATTGTACATTTAACAGTATACAGGGAATCAGTTACAGCAGCCAGAAATCACTACTTCCAAACTAGTTTTTAGAAAAAGGAAATATGTCAATTTTTGGCTTTGCCATCATCTTGCTAAGTGACTGGAATTAAATTGTAGGACAAACATGAATATCCTAGGTAAACATTCAAATGTATATTCAAACCTCATCTGAACAGTTGCAGCCTGGAAATACTCTCTTTCAAAACTTCCAGAAAAAAAAAATCGTAAGGAAAGTCCTTCTAATATTTGAGTGAAGCTTTATCTTTTGGCATGAAAAGCAGTGAAGTTAAATAGAACAATCTGAACTAGAACAGGAATCCCTTCCAGCTGTTTCATTTTGCGTAAAAGGGGATGCCCTGTGTCTAAAAGGCAGTAGGTAGCATTGTCTTAATGTTACTGAATGCTTTCAGATGCTGCTAAAGAGCCTAGATAGAGGGGATAGCAGAAAGATTTCTCCCTCCAGTATGCACAAAGTAAACAGTCTGAACTTCATTCACATGCAAAGTATATACCAAAAACCTTTGCACTCCTCTGAAAGCCAAATGAGAGTACAGTACAGACAGATGTTTTCCTTCTACCTTAGTATTTTATAATTAGGACTGGCCTTAGCATGCTTTGTATGGCATAATACATCCTGATGAAACACATAAGTGGAGGCACTCCAGTAATGGAAGAAAGGATGATTACAGAGATAATATGGCATTTCAGATGTGGCTCTGTTAAATCATTAAAAAATATTTAGGGCACAGAAATAATGTTTCTCATGCCAAGTGATTGTTTTAAAAATGGGACACTGATTCAGATGGAAACAGCTTTTCTTTGGGGATTTCCACCTCCTTAAAACGCCCTCTACAATATGAAAAGATCTGGAAGTAACAAGAAGTAATCTGCAGTAGAAATTTTACAGTTATACTTTGCTATGCAGAAACATCAAGAAAAGGAAAAGAAGGTACATCCGTGGCAAAAACAGTAAGTGCCTTTTCCCCCGGTGTCATGTCTTTGGATAGGTACAGACTTGGAGAAATGTATAAATCATTTTATACATGAAATTCTTAAAAAACTAGAGATTTTAGTACAAAGGAATCAATTCACTGAAAGAATGTCCACATGCTGTTGCTTTATGATTTACTATATACACAACAGGATCAAACAAAGGACCTCTGTTTTACAGTTACTGCTGTGCTGTACATTAACATGTGGCTAATACCCTTCTCTGGGTGAGATTTACACTTAGTATTACATATAATATAACAATGCTGAAAATACTGATACAAAACAGCTTCAAGATGACGTGTAAAAATATTCCTCATTTAATTGAACTGTTTCCTCCAGTTTTTTTCTAAGTTTCAGCTTTAAAAAAGATTTTTCAAGAAAATAGTAGCATTTAAAATGTTATTTCTGAAATGTATAGACAGATTTTTTTTAACAAAGTGTAATCCAAAAGTCCATTTTTCCAGGAAAAAAACAACTATAGATACAGTACATGAGTTAAAATTGAAAGATTTTTTTTTTTTTTAAATGTAGTATAGTACATTTGTATCCTGGAAAAAAATTCCTGATTACAATGTGTGTTTATTTACAGATCTGAAATATAATTGCATACATCAACTCTTGAGATAAGCAAGACTGAAATGTATTGGTGATAATAATCAACTGTCCTTTCAGTCTACCATAAGCTTAAGAAATTGCTCAGAGGAAAACATGACTGAATAGTGAAATTCTGTTACTAGTACTTTTATTTTTTTGGTAGACATTAAACTATGAATTTCAAAGCAGGACTGAAAGTCTTGAATACCCACAGATCATTCAGTGAAGCTGTGTTTGCAATTTCTGCATGTTTTGTTTTGGCGGTAGCAACACACACACAATTATATAAAAGCATGAAGAATTCTGGCAAATGTTTGTCTTGATTCATATGTATCCAGCTATGGACACCCCAAATGATCATTATAGAATACTTGGACAAAACCTGCTCTCCTCAACATCTGATGTCATCAAATTTACTCTACCCTAATTAAAATCCTCAATGAACAGAATACTGGAAGTTCAGGCATTGAAATGGCTTTGCAGAATCTGTTGAAGCTTGTAGTCTAGTTGTTTCTTAACCTAGCCAATGCTTAATCTGATAATTAAGTAGTTAAGTGGGTGTCATGTTTAACACTAAGTAAAATTTGTATCACTAGTTTATTTTGTATGCCTTACGGACTTACTTTTAAAAGTTACAGCATTTTTAGTAGCTACAGAAAATTCTTTTTACTCTCCTTCAATTAAGTCATACCAGGTGCTTGATTTTGTGTGTGAGAATGTGCTACGCTCTTGTCTTTCATTATTAATCACCAGTTAAAGAGAGAGGTGACTTGTCTCAGATCTGTCTCAATCATACTTCAGTGCGCCAGGTTACGTATGAGCTACTAACTATATGATCTATTGTCATTCAGACAGATTACCCGTCATCAGAGAGGTTGTAAACCAAGTGTCATGCTTAGTATATGCCACATGTTCAGAGTAACTTGACTGAGCTACCTCTTTTCAAGCCCTCTGAAAAGGGAAAACAGGGTCTTTTGTTACTGATAAGCTTTTAAGTTCTGTAGTGTCATCAGATGATTTCATATTCCCATGAGCCCAGCATACTGCATGCCAAATAGGACTAAATCCATCTCACTTGTACATAATACATTGAGACTATCAAACCTGCTGAGTTAGTGTAATTCAGGTCATTAAGTTCAGATATAGTCTGCAGAAATTCTGATTACATGGGTAGTTTGGACTGGTAATAAGACAATTGCTTTTATTCGAGTAAAATTTACTTTCATCCATTTTTGGTTTGGGAAGTATATGATGCATCAATAGCATAGAATGTCATGTTGCATCATGAGTGATATATTGTCTGTAAAATCACAACAAATACCACCACAACATCACATGTTATAATAGCACAAAAATAGTAGAAAAGATGTAGTTTAAAAAAAGGGAGGGGGGAGGGAAGGCTGAGGCATCAAGCTGCCATTTTTCATTTCGATTCCAATTACGGAGTCCAATACCTGGTAAACCTCTATGAACTCTACTGTTGAAGGAAGAAAAAAGTCAGGCATTCCCTCTGCTGGTGCCCTGAGGCATCCTTAAAATACAGCAGGAAGTGGTAACATATCTCTACAAGTGAGCAAAATGTCATTGTATCTTAAAAAAAAACTGTAAAGAGAGAGTCCTCAGATTTCTGACTCCTTATTTCCCTAGTCTCTATGAAACTTAAAGAGTGCTTCCTAATTACTTATCTATTCATTCCTCACATCTACTTTTACAGTAACATTATTAAATGCACACAGTATTATTTACGACCGCCTTCCAGAAATTCAGTGGATCTTAATGGTTTATAGAGGCAAAAAAGAAAAAAAAATTAGCCAATTTTAGATTAGCGATGCCAACCAAATGGTCCCATTTATTACAAACATGGTAACTTTTGCACGACAAATCAATTTAGCTATTTAACAATCTAGTTCATCCCTTTGCCACAGTCCCAAACGGGGAAGTATGGAACCTACAGACAATGCTTTTTTTTTTTTTTTCAGGTAAAGGTAGCAGCAGATGAAAACTCAGACTGAGCTCTAGATGAGTTTACGTTCCCGTTTAATCAACTCTCCTTCCATGGTAAGAATACAAGAACTCTGTTACCCATCTTGTTGACCTAAAGTCTGCAGCTCTGCTGTGTGTAAATTGTGGTGGAGGAAAACATTTTTTCTGCTGTACATGTGTAAAGAGATGGGTCCCCTCGGAGGCTGTCCAAGTCTCCCTGTGAAAGTGGTATGCTGCCGAGGTACAGCAGTTTGGTCCTTTGGAGCTCCTGAGAAAACAGGGTAGCCATCTGTCTTGGATGCTGGCTTTGCTGTACTTTGTGCAGGGCTGGCCAAACCATTCTGGGTGACCTCCGAAGCGAGGGTTTCGTATGTGCCTCTAGTATGCTTGATGACATCCACTATTTCTTTCTCTTTCAAGAGGTTACTCAGACACAAATTTGACAGCTGACAGCTTTTGCTTTCATAGGCTGTTGCTTGGTTGCCTGATGAATATCTAAAAGGGTCCTCGGTGGGAGTATGTGCTGACTTTCTGTCCCTTGTGTTGAGATTTTGGCTCCCCATTCTGTTTTGATATGTAGCCTGGAGTTTAAAAAAAAAAAAAAGAAAAAAAGGAAAAAGTATTAGCACCATATTACATACAGCACATGATGAGGAAAATGGTACAGACTATATAAAACACACCTCATAATAACTACAGATGCACAGCACACCCGGCAGGTAGACTAAAATGAAAGACAAATCTCGAATGCTAACAAAACGTTTTAAACCAGTGCCAGTGGAAGAACTGTCGATTCATACTTAACAAACCAACACTGAAAAATACTTACTATATGTATTGATTTTAGCCATTTCCTTAAAAATATTGTTTAAATAAAGAAAAGATTATTTTTTAAGAACGTAATAAATGGTTAAAATGTTCCATGTATGCAGATATTCAAGAGCATTTTATTTGACAAAACAAGAATTTTGACTGTATAGAGCTTAACCTTCAATACTTTTAGATTGTTACAAAATGTAAAGAACATCTTTTGTGAACACCTTCATGCCTCAGGTAAGCTCACAACATGCTCAACTTTCAATGTGCTTTGAATCTAGGTATTTTATAGTGTACTTATGAGTTAAATACACGCCCAAGTGCTCTGCTAGATCACAGCATTAATTTCATTCCAGCCGCCAGAAAAAAAATACTTTGTAAGAAGGATTCCAGAATTTTACATTTCTCAGTACGTGAAGTAAAATAAAATACTGAGAGGAAAGTGTTAGCACAGTCAAAGCAGCATTCTGCCTGCTCCACGACTGTCTGCACTAGGTAACTTCCAGAGGTCATGCCAAGGAACTCAGCTCACTGGGAGATGCTTTTGTGGCTGAAGAATTGCACTAGCGAAGCAGTGAAAGTTCAGAAATTTAGTCTCTGGACGAACTTGAGTTTTGAACCCAACTTTGAAAGAAAGCTTCATACTTCACAAAACATATCGGACAGCAGTATGTCAAATGAAAATTAGACATTTTAACATCCAAAATTTAAATATTTGAAGGTTTGAAATTTAAACATTTGAAAGCTACACTTAAGTGAGTTGGAAAAACTATTGCTGTAAGCTACGTAAAATCTATTTCCCTGTTAGTGATCTAACAGAGCATAAAAAAGGGGCGTGGGGAGGTGTTTCATTAATTTCTCCAGATATATATACTGTGTTGCTTCAAGGAAATCTTTAACTTACACTGCAATTAGTGTACTTCAAATTTGGTTCTTCTTTTTTTTTTGAACTAGTCAGGTTACAGTAATTAAGCTGCAGTTCTGTGAGAAAAGATTCTAATAATAGCATCAATTGCACTTTTTTAAAAGTTATTTTGGAATATACATTTTCCCTTGTTTTATCTCTGTCCCACTTTCCCAGGTATTGTTCAAAGAACCTAGTTCTGGCATTCATTTGCAATACAAGACTAATTTATACTACATAAGTTTTCTGCAACAGAACTCTGAAAGCACTTAGTAGCAGCTTTTTGACATTCATATTGCTGTTCCTATATAGGCTAAGCCATTGCAGCACAAAGCCAAGAGAATCAAAAATACTCCCAAGCCTTATACCAATACATTGCTAAAAAATATTTCAGGTTGTTTCCATGATTCCTTAGGAAATGTAGATGTATTGTTTCAGGACAATTTCTATCACTTCACACACCCTTTGCTTTTTTTTTTTTTTTACTTCAAAAGAAGGATATAATCAATATCCATGGCTTACATTTTATTTTTGTGCTGGCATGCTAGCGATTATACTTCTGCACAGATTCATATGTAGGTATGGACATAAATATTGCAATACATTTTAGACATTAGAGGTCTAAAAGGATTAGTACTGGCGTAACATTTTTCCCACTTAATTCAGCGACGATTGCTCCCAGACTGGGAGCAGAACGCTTCTGAAAAGCATCACTTCAAGTATTCATCTTGCAGCATTATGTATTGAGCTGAAATTCAATTTAGTTCCTAAGAAACCATTCTTGGGGAGACCTAACTGTAGGTTTAATTACTTTTTTTTTTATGCCAGTAAATAAAATCTTTCCACTGGTACAAGGGATTCAAATTCAACACCTTGCCAAAAATCCCTGTTTTTGCTGTAAGGGAATATTTCTGGAGTTACAATCTGAAGATTGATGACACATTCCACAACAGCCATACCTATGTATCTGAGCATGTACTTACTAAAAGTCTTTCATGAAAATACAGGAAAGTATTTCAAGATGTTCAAGGGTCACATTCTTGAGGAATATTTAGATCATTTATTAAACACTATCTCCTTGCAGCTTGTGAACTTATGTAAGTTATGTTTCTGTAATGATAAACCTTTAGGAGCTACTTTTGTGAATGCAAATCTCTAATTTTGTGCCTGAGGGAAAGAATCTGCCATGACATAAGGACATAAAAAGTGGCGGAAATTATGAAATATACCATGCCACCATACTACAGTATCATAGCTCTCAGAGGAACCTCATGAAGGGACATCTAGTCTGTCCTATACTTCTGGTCAGGATTAGCTTATTCCTATGTCATTCCTGACTTTTTTTTTTTTTTAATTAGCTGTTAAAGACCTGCGTTGATGCAAACTCTACAGACTCGTCAATATCCTATTCAACTATGTTGTCCTTACCGTTAGGACTTCCTAATGTCTGAACTGAATCTTTCTGGCTGCAAGACTATTCCTTCCATTTCTATCTACCATGGAAATAAAGAAAGGATTGTTCTTTCATCTTTCAATAACCTGTTTATGTCTTTGAAGAATGCTGTCATGCTACCCCTTAGTCTTCTCTGCTGCGGAATTAAAAATATCACTTTGATCTTTTCTTGTCAGACTTGTCTTCTAGACCTTGAGTCATTCTCACTGATCTTCTCTAGATTCTCTTCATTCTAATTCCACATGCATGTTGAAGTTGATGGCCCAAGAGTTACTGTTACGTAAGGTACTGTACCCCTACCACTACCAAGCAAAAGAAGCACTAACAATCCTACAAAGGATTTCTTTACCTGTTCCTTGTTAATTCACTTCACTGTGAGGTTTATCTTTTTTTTTTGCAATTAGCATGTGTTGACTTCCATTCATCTGACCATCCACAATAGCTTCTAGAGTTTTTTCTACAGAACTGCTACTAAATTATTCATAGGAATAATCTCACATTTCTCTCCACTGAATTTCATCTTTTTTCTCAGATTTTTTTCTCTAATGTATCAAGATCATTTTGAATTCTCATTTTATCCATTAATACAGTCTCCATCCCTCCCAGCTTCATGTCATCTGTAAATTTAAAATGAATATTCTCTATTCCACCATCTAAGTTGTTAATGTATTGAACACTGTTAAAAACAACAGTGATACCTCCTCCTCGATATATCCTTCTCTTTTAACTTTGGGCCCCTAGTTAAGTACTTCCCAAGGACAGTTTTCCAATTTACTTCATATTTGCTTCATTTAGCCTGCCTTTCCCCAGTATGCTTATAGGATAATGTCAAAAGCCTTACTAACAGCAAGAAATTTGACATCTACTGCTTCTCTTCTAGCTAGAAAGGCTGTCACTGTGCTGCAGAATGAAACTAGATTGGTTTAACAGCTGGTTTGATTTGTCATCCAGGTTGGCCCTTGTTCATCTCTCATCGTTTTCTTCTAGATGCTTATAAATAGTTTGATTATCTTTTCCGACATTTTTTTCTGAGAATTGAAGTTAAACTGATGGAAAGCATTACATTAAAATGAATCATAACCTCCCCCCAAAAATGACAAAAGCAAACACTGATACTGCACCTGCTCAGTTTATACTTGCTCTAATAAAGATGCTTCTATGCTTTTCATGGTGTTATACATTGCTCAGTAAAAAGTCTAGGAATTAAGAACCGTTCCTCCTCTTAAACCAGCTACTGAAGTGCCAGTGAAAGCATAACTTAGCTGTTCAATCAGCAACTATTCTCAAACAGTTATAAACAGCATGGCATTTGCATAACCAGGGTTTAAGCATGTTATTGCAGATCCTTGTAGCCTTGTATGATACAGAGGCCATTTCCAGTGATAAGCAAGACCACTGCTGGAGGAGTTGGCTACCATGTGTTTTATAGTCTTAAAAATGGCTTAGCAGGTTTGTCTGTCTCTTGAAAAGCTAAAAGAAAAAATAAAACTTTAAAAAATGAAGAACGTTTTTATCAAATAAGATATGCCAACAAGATGTGCTTTAAAATAAATACAGAACAATTAACTAGTTTTGAATATAAGGAATATAGAAATATGTAAGAGAGAGTTCAAAGAAACTGGGTAGCAGTAAATGGCACAAGGCGATTACAGCATTTTGTATATTGTTATTTTAACTAGATCTAGATGAAATGCTCTGTTTTGAATACCTAAAACACTGCATTTTTTCTTTCCTGTTCCATATCAGGTTATGCTTTGTATGACATATTTTCATTTTAGAAAATAAGTGCTGGGTTTGTAGGTCTCCAAAATACAGGCTTCAGGTTGTAGCTTAAATACACTGTGTGTGTTTGCATCGATAAATGTTTAATAGTATGTATGTGGTGAGGAAAGGTCTTACTCCATTCTGTGAAGCTGCACCTTGCTGAAATTCTTCTCCTACTGAATAAATAAACAAGAACCAGGTGGTGCCAAATTAAGAGCTAATATGCTGAAATTTTAAAACGGCAATAGAAGTTTAGAAGATGTCATCCGCATTCTAAGACATTGGTTTGACCCCATCTCCAGCAGTAAGTCACAGGTTGTTAAACAAGGAAAGACAAACTCATTCCATCAGGTGTATATTTAGTCTTAGAAAGAAAAGAGATTTTAATATGAACTTTGCTAAGTCATTGCTATTTATGACAAACTGCTAAACAACAGTTTCTGATCAGGAAAAGAGAAAATGGTGGTCAGCCGGGAGTGAAAATCAACAAATCTTCCCCCAGCAAAAGAACTACATTATTCTCAGTCAAAAATATTGACAAAACAGTATCTAATGACATCCAATGCTGCTTTGAATTTAAAGGAAGTTATACTTTGCTATCATATAAACAATCACAACAACATACAGAGCTAAAGAAAATTGTA